AGCGTGGTTACTTTGAGTTACATCACCGAGAACTTGAGCAACCGTTAATCAACACAAACGTACATAGCAAATGTTATGATCGGTTATTTTACCACTCAAGCGTGGCATTGTCGAAAACAGTATCACCCCTCGTTCCCTTATCCGATCGTTCCAATATTTTATCAACTTTAATTATGTAACACTAATGTTTTCTCTGTCCGAGCAGAATTGTGCGGCAAAGTAATGTGTGCGCTGACTCTAGAACACAATACTGAACTGTGCATCAATTTAGTCATCACCACCTTTCAGTGACAAAAAACTGTTCTACTAATTACCTTCAGTTATATTTAACGTTTTCCATTGTTGACATTCTATATTCTTAGTAGATGTTGAGATTAATTGTGCATGTTCTTGCATTGTTTGTTTCAATAATTGTCCAATATTTATCGTAAAATTAAGCTTTACTTGATATTTTGAATATAATTTCATTAATAAAAGTGAATTCTCACCTAATGAAATGATATGTAAGTTGGCCAATTTTGTTTGTTTGTTTTGTTTTGGTAATTAATTCAACAGATGTTACGTTAACATTTTGAACAAAACTTAGACATGAAAAATGCAAGGGAAAGCAAAAAGTGCTAAGCATCTATAAGTATATAGCTTTCCCACGTTTGCACTACCTAGTCAGATTTGCAAGTGTCGACGCAAACGAGCAAACCCGACACCATCAAATCGTAACACTCTTCATCAAGCTCAAGTCGAAGTTCCTTTTGCTCGAACTGAGATCATCCTTAGTAGTTTTTCTGTAAAGCTGCTCATGAGTGGAATTCAACCCCATCCGAGGTTTTAGTGAGCTCTTCTTGCTTTCCTATGCTTTCCCTTTCATTTTTCATGTCTAGAAAAAGATTTCAAAGAGTTTTTAACGCGTTTCGCTAAGAGAATGTAGTGTTTGTAAAGGAAAAAGCGAGAATTTATTACTCCAGTTTGTACTACTATACTTTGGACTAATAAACTTTGCACTACAACCTTTGATTTCATCATAGCCGTTTCATGCAACTTGTGACGAAAGTGCCGTGCCACCTGTCTAAAAAATCAGATACTTTCGTCACAACCGAGATGAACTTTCGTCACAAAAGGGGTTGACTTTCGTAACTACTGTGTAAACATAGCTAAATTTTTGTCACATGCCGAAAGAACTTTTGTCATTGAAAACAGAACTTTCGTCATGTGACGAAAGTTCAGCATTATCCGATGACATTATCCGGTGACGAAAGTGCTGTGAAGCTTCAAAAGAGCGAACAAAGTCCCGACTGACGTGAACAACAATAAAGATAACAGTTATACACTACTAAGCATCTCTATCAAGACTTATTCTGTAAAAGGCGTGTACCCTACATCAGTGACATCTTGTGGAATGTTGTTTAGGAACTACTATCATTTAACCTCTGTAATTGGCTTCCGCACAGAAATTGACTTTCTTACCTTGCAGACATGATGCCAAACAGTAGTAAGGACCTTCACAGTATGTTTCTTTTACTCAAGGTTGTTATTACGGTGAATTATGTGAATTTACGATAAGTGAATATTCTTTATCGTTCGATCCATCATTTGGTCAATTAATTACTGTTAATTTACCACTGTTCAAACAACCATTTTTAATTAAATTATGCTTTACATTAGTAATTATGATGTTATTATTGGGTTAGTTCTGAATGGCTTAACTATCATAATAATGTCTCGAACAAAGTTTCAACAGGTTGGTAGCAATGTTTACGTGTTATATTCATCAATAACTGGCCAAATAGGTTTATCCATATTAATTTCAAAAGTGATATTTCTTTTAATAATTCAACTTTATGATTCAAAAGGTACAACAAAACTTCGTTGTATTCTATTGAACTATCCATTAAAACTATTTGCAACAACAAATTGGACACATGGATGTCTGTCAGTTGAACGGGCATATAGTGCTACAGTTGGAGTGAAATTTAATAAAAAGAAAAGCAAAAAGATCGCAAAATTTGTCATTCTTTTTCTATTTATGTTTATTGGAGTAAGTAGTATCCACGGTCCATTCCTTCAACAAGTGGCTAATGATCACCATCCAGCGGGGCATTCATGGTGTATTTTCAATACAAATGAAAATGTTTTCATGCATTACTATAGTCTGATTACGAATGGGTTTCATCTTGTAACGCCATTTCTAATAAATTCAGTTTCAAGTTGTATTATATTAATTCGAACTGCTTTTACAAAGTCATCAGCTGGAACTCAACTTTATTCAACAATGTTGAGACGCCAGATTCGGCAATGCCAACATTTAATTATAAGTCCACTTTTGTTGATTCCATTAGCATTGCCTAAATTAATACTTCTATTTTTATTTACATGTATTAAACAAATCCATTCATGGCAAAATTATTTATTATTATTAAGTTATTTTCTATCAATAATTTATATCAATTCACAAATAAGTTCATTAATTATTTATGTGTTACCATCGATAATATACCAAGCTGAATTAAAAAGTTTTATGAGTAACACAAAACATTATTTGATCCAACGTTTCTCTAAATATAATGTCATCAAATATAACTGTTTTTTCTGAAAATATTTATATTTATTCCTGTAAAATAAATAACTTTCATCTGCAATTCACCGACTCTTAACTGGAAGACCTTCGTTCACAAGAGATCAGAAAGAGAATACAATTTATAGAGAATATAATTTATTATTTAGAAAATTAAACGAATAAATCGAACTGATACTAACAGAAAACCAGCGTTTACCTAGGTTAAATTCTCTTGTTTGTAAAAGGATGATAATCCAACGTGAGTCACAAAATGCGGACAGAGGAGGAAATCAGGGTGTTACAGATCATATGATCCATTAGGCCAGAATAAAACAGAACTTCCGAGCAAGCTATTTTATACCTAAAGTGTTGTTGGTGTGTTTCTATAATTAATTTTTCGATTGTTA